GGGGGGGGGGACAGTGGCAGACTACAGAATCTTGTTACTCGGCTTTACAAAAGGCCAGCAGACCTTGCTCCTAGCAGCTGTGCTAAGCCGAGCCCACTTTTTGCCATGGTAACAATGATCATGACAAAATGCTGAATGTAATGGCTTTCTTGATTTTCTTGTGTAATTGTGCGTAGCATCCGAGCTTTACTTTACGGGGATGGAGGAGGAAAGTGCAAAATGTTTTAGAAATCAATGCTGCTTCAGCGTTTCCTGTGCTTTATTCGGCCATTATTCAAATTAGCAGTAATGTGGCAAATTGAATTTTAGATTTTTAGCAATTTTATGATGAGTTTGAAATTGTAAAGAAAGCATCATTTTTGATAGTATAGGGAAAGCAATGAGAAGAAAATCAAATTGTGTAAGTTTAAGTTACTAGAGGATTTTTTAAAATGATAAGCTCAATCGTTATGCATTGTGACTCATTGCCTCTCTGTGGTACTGGCGACGTCTTTTGTGAGCATCAATAAAAAATGTAATCCCAAACTGTAGAGTTTATTTAAAACAGTCAAGTGTATTTAAAAACTCAACAGTATGCCTTTATTTAAAACAACCCAGCTATTTATTGAGTGCCTACTATGTGCTTGCTCATCCACTTTGTGGTGCCTACTCAATAATCCAGTCACCTGCAGATTATTGAACATGGGTGGAGGGGCTGGGACTTAACACAGTTTTCATTGGGCTGGATTTGAAAGTATTTTGTTGCATATTCCTTTTTTTCTTTTCTAAGATCTTTTGCTTAGGAGACTATTGATTTTCAGTCCCTGAGCACATTGTTTGAATATGTACCGACTACATTGGCATAATTCCGTTGAGGCATGTCTCATGAGAAGAGCAAGTGAGCTTTGGTTTAAAGGGTGTAGATCATTGAAAAGTGACACAAATTGGTTACATGCTTGGCTGCTAGCCACCAGGTTGGAAGTGTGAGTTGGCCCAGAAATGCATTCAAAGAGAGTCCTGGTTATCTGCCTTCCAAAACTCAGCCATTGAAAACCTGACGCTGCACAGCCCCCCTCCCACCAACAGATCACCAGCAGCCAGAATCGGGTCCGTGGCAGCTCTATGGAAACTGGTGATCATTCAGGGAGGATATACTCTACCGAGAAGATGGTACCCGATGTCTGAAGAGAGATCACGAAATGCAGGTTTCCCAAACTGTGAGCCGCTCAGAGAGGCATTTACCTCCACTTGGTTCTGATAATGATAGTATCTTCCCAGTGTTTGGGCATTTTGATAAAGAGAAATCAGCACTCCACCCGAAGGCAGAATTGCAAGGAGGCTATTGGTTGAGATATGGACTAATTCAAATTGATAACCCTACATAAAGATACACAACAATAAACATTATCTAATTGACACACGGTTTCAGATTAAAGCCTTTGGATTTTACCATAAACCTCGGGTCATCCAACCTTTGTGAAATGATGTAGAAACACATTTCCCCCATCAACAAAGCCCTTAACTGGTAGCCTAACGTTTCCTAGAAAAACTTTCTTTTGCATGAGTAAGTGATCTTACTCAGTCTTTCAACAGTTTAACACTGTTGATAATGAAATATACTTTCTCATTATTAAAACATTTCCTTTTCTTAGCAACTTACTTAATGTCTCTGAGCTTCTCTCATCTCCCTAGTAAAATGGGGTGAATAGTATCTTCCTCAGTATGTTGTATCAGTTACATGATACAAGGCATCACATTCCTCTGGGGTTGGTCCCACTCTGCCAGCCATGTACTCAGTCTCCTTTGCTGACTCACCTTCCTGTCCTCAGACACTAAGGCGGAGGGCCTCAGGGCCCACTGCTCCTCCCCCTTTTCCTATCTACACTCAATGTCACGAATGACCCCCTTGGGGATCTCATTGGGTCCTATGGCCTTAAATACCATCTCTACGCTGATGTCTTATTGATTTTACCTCCAGTCTTCATATTTCCCCTGAATTCAAATTTGTCTAGTCACCTATCCACTAAGTATCTCCCCTTTGATATCTAAGCAGTACCTCACACCTTGCATGTGCAAAACTGAGCTCTCAATTTCTCTTCTCAGCCTTGTTCATCCTTTTTTTCCTCCTACAGTTCAATTAATGGTGCAATAATTTGTCCAGATGCTCAAGTGAAAAACCTCCATCAGCCTACATGCGGTCCGTCAGCAAGTCCTGTCAGCTTTGTCACCAGCGTCAAATCATGCCAGTTATTACCCTCTTGCCTCAACGGCTACCATTGTTTCTCAGACGGTTGCTGTCGTGTCCAAACTGGTCTTACTGTGTCAATTCTACGGTTAGTTTTCATGCCCAGCCAGAGTGACTCTTGGAAAACAGAAATCAGGATGTGGCCTTTTCTGCTCAAGACTCTTCAAGCTCTCTACCATCTTGGAAATAAAACCCAGAGGCTTTCTACTCCTGTAAGGAGTAATAGTCTCAGAAACCTCCAAGGGGTGATTCAACCCTGGCCTGTTGGGTCATGATGAGTCGACTGGCATTGACTCCATGGGAGTGAGCCTGACTTTCTTGGTTGACCATGACACGTGGGACCTGCCTCTCTTCCACCCGAGTTCTCTTCACACCTCAGGTTCTATCTCTCTCCTAGCCTTCTCTGGCTTTCTTGACCTTGTTCTTTTTCTTCCTATCAGCCCTTAAAATAAGTGCGGTGAGGAGTCTGTGAGGGGTACAGGGAACATTACCACCTGATAGCACACTCCTTACCGTATCCGAGGCCCTCCTCCTGTCCCTGGGACCTTGAAATCCTTATCAAATGGGTCTGAGAGTACTTCGAGGCATGTGGGACCTGTCGGGGCAGACACAGCAGACTCCTAGAAAACTTGGGGCTCGAAGACCAATCCCTTCGACCGAGGCTACAGGCCACTATCTAAGAGAATATGTAGATACGAGAGAGCTTCAAACATTTAAGGAAACAGTGGGATGAGAAGACACTGAAATTCTCCAATCAACTTTTTGAAGCCTTTCCAAAGCTGTTTCCCAAACTGGTATAAGAAGGGAAGGGAGGGGAGAACTGAAGCGACTATATGGCCCTTGCTCATATTAAGTACCACCGAAGAGATTAAGAGCTGAGTTTCAGCTGCTGGATTTTTGAGACTTTGGCTCCAGTGAGTCTACGCTCTTAGAGGCCATGCTAAGCTAATACCTTCTGCCACAATAATTGATTGGACTCTAACTCTTACCTCTAAGTATCCTTTAAAGATCCGTTATTTACTCAATGGCCTAGCAATTGCTTTCTCTGGTCTCTGATAATGTGAGAGGTAAGGCATTTCGAATTGGGCTGCAATGCAGTTCACGTTAAGGAAGGTACTTTGCAGAGGATGGACAAAGTCCTTCCTTTACTAAGATACTTCCAGGAAGCCTACAATTAACCAAATCATAGATTCCCAGTTATTTCAGTCTTGTTAACAACAAGGCTGATCACATCTGTCTTGAGTTGGAGTATCTGCCTCAGCAATAGAAGCTCTCTTGCAAACCTTCAATTACAGCAGCTTCGCAAGGCACTGCTGCCTTAAACTAACAAGTAGTCATCAGCACCAACAGGAGAAAGATTGACTAATAATTAGCAAATGTATTAGAGAGGGCTTCTATAAAGGTAAAATATAATTATTTGCTTTTCCATCTCTTATAGTAGAGATGGTTGCAAGATATTGATGTTCTGTTTTTGCCGACCAATACTTAACACCCATTATTAGCTGCTAGTGCATAATATTTAATAAAGACAAGAGAAGTGTCTTCTGTGTGCATAGCACTTTTATAATAATGATTTCACCTAGTGGATAAGTGCCAGGTACCCACCCCCCACCCCACCCCACCCCACACATTTTGTATGTAAGAAAGACTTTCCCATCCAGGAATTTATATGTTCTGCCATTATTCATTGTTTTTCAATGATGGTTTTAGATAAAAACCAAATAAGGAGCAGAAATGTTATCTTAGGCCTTTGGAGTTTATGTTTTTCAATAAAGAGATGCTT